GGGAGGTAGGGAAGGGGAGCACACAGTTACAGAGATGAAGATGTAGAGAGCAAGCGTGCTGCCAGAGCCAGCCAATCACGCCTCTACACCCTGGAGCATTGACGCGGAAGGATGCGGGGTGCTGGAATTTAGCCCAGTGGAAGGGGTAAATTCCAGTAAGTGGGAGCAGTTAAAGGTTAACTACAAGTAGTAATTTGCTGCTGGTTTTTTTTAGTAGCAGAAGCATCCTGCCAATCTTTACCTGCCTGCAGTCCCTTGGCTGCAGAAGTATCAGCTGCGCCTGCAGCTCTGCCTGAAGTAGAAAGATTAAAGCTCAGGAAAGGCTGAATTTAGGAAGAGCTGGGGCTTTGGGGCACCACTGATGGGGGATTTTTGGTTTTACTATGTAAAGGACAAGAACTCCTTAAAACATTTACATTCTGAAAATATAATTTCTGTTCCCTTCTATTTCACTCCAAGTCTTTAGTAATTTTATTTTATTTTTTAAAATTTAGAGATTGTTTGACTTATGAATCTTTTTCGTAGCCCTGTGCCTTAGCATCAGTGCAGCCCTGTGTTTTTAGCTGAAGCTCCATGATGATCATATCGTGGAGGACCCTTGTAGTCGGGTGGAATCTCTTAAATAGACATGAACTTCCTCAACATCACCTGTCTCCCTATAACATCAAAGAGACTCTAAAACAGTGTAAAGTTCCTGTACTTGTACTGCAGCCAGTTGTGCCTGTGCGTGGGGAGAAAGTGAAATCAAAGAGGGCCATGCCCCAAGTTCATCTTTCACTGCTGTTTCACCCCTGTTGATGTGGATCATGCCCTTGTTGCTCACAGGGTTTACCTGAGTGAGAAAATTGGCCGCAGGACTGTCACAGTGACACCTGCGTGTGAGAAGATGGGACCTTGCTCTGACTCTGACCCAAGAGCTGCTGATCAGAAGAAAACACGCTTCGGTCAAATTTGAAACTGAGTTGTGTAGCCAGTCCTTTCAATGAAACAGAAGGGTTTTCTGAAAGAAAGTGCCACTTCTATGCAGGCACTTTCCTCTACGTTAACTGTAAGTTTCCTGATTTGTCACCACTGTGGCCATAGGGTTGGGTTTAATCGAGGAACTTTTTTGCAGCACTGTGTTTTTTCAACCTTTGCTCTACTTCAGTGAGTATTTTTTTTCTCCCCCCTTCTCAAGAAGCTAATAAGTAAAAATGGGAATAAAATCAAGTATTCTGAAGCAGCTGAGCTTCTGAACATTTTTGTGTGTGTGAATTTGACTTCTGGAAGAAAACCCCAAATGAAATGTGGCAGGCAAACCGGAATTAAAGAAAACTTGCAATAAGTAACTCTTGATTAAAGTGTAGGCTATGGGAGTATATGAAAAACAGACATTACACAACTCAAAATCATATCCTGGTAACATGCTTTAGAAATAACTGACTAATGAATGTCTCAGATTGCTGCCAGACTTCTTTGAAAAGTCATGGAAAACTAGGAGAGAGATAAAAATGTGACATCTGGAACCAAGTTATAATTTCTCATACAAAATAGAAGAGTTGGAGATGGAGCAGGTTTTAATTCTACAAGATAAAGCCTTCAGTGGGGAGCCAGCATGTGGCTGCCCTTTGCTCCTGACCAGCAGCTCCTGGTGTAAAATGGACAAGTGGACCCTCCTGTAATACCTCTGGGAAGGATTTTTGGTGTTGCATCTTCTGCTGGTGTTAAAAAAGCAGAAGCAAGAGGATGAAGATGCTGGTTATATTTTCCCCACCCTTGCTGAACCTTTCTTTTTCAGCTCTGCTATGTTCCTTGGTTGATCTAATGGAAAAATACAGTCTCCTGTTTTATTACCCAGTCCCTCAGTCCTGTAGGGTCTTTCTGCAGTTCTTCATGGTCAGCCCTTAGCTGTAACATGCCAAATTACTGGGTTATGATCATCAATCTTCGCTGTTTCACTGCTCGCTTCCCTTTCCCAGATACTTTTAGACTATTTTCAAGAGCTCAAATCCCAGAAGAACCTCTTGGGGACCTTCCTCCATCAAAGAACTGACTGTTCTAACCACTTACTTATCCAAGCAAAGAACTTCTTTCATGCTGTGGCATCTTAGCTTCCTTAAAATCTTTTAGAGAAGTGTGTTGCACAACCATTGTGGAAATCCAGGTACCTTGACCCGTCTGCTGGTCAGACCTTCTTTACCCACATGGTTGTTGACTCCTCTGGAGAGCTTGGAGGGGTTTGTGAGGCAGGAAGGCAGAAGCTGCATTGACTCTTCCCAAGTACAGAAGTAATGTTGGTTACAGATGACAGTTTTCCTTATTGTTCCTCATTTATCCTTGTGACTCATTGCTCTTCGTTTTGTCTGTGTACTCCCTAACTTGACTCTTCCACAAGATGATCTGAACTCGGAGGCTTGGGCTGGAGGCTTGGAGGCTTTTGTCCCCCCTGCAGAGTGTGGTGTCAGTGTGGGAATCTGTCCAGCTTCTTCCCTGGTGTCTGTAGACACCATAAATTAATTTAGCCTTATCCTCACTGAGTCTTGCTTTTTATTCCTATATCACATGAACACACTCTCTGACAGGCTTCCTGCTCTTGCAGAGCCTGAAGAAGATAACCCCTGGTTTTGATACGTCTTGCTAGCTGTCCTCCAAACTTTTCTGCCCTACGTTAGCATATTTTTGGTCCCTGCTGAGCCTTTCACGTAATGAAGGAGGTGACAGGAGCTTTCTGCTCCTCTGCCATAGCTGGCAGATCCCCAGGCAGAGGTGCCCAAGCATGGAGCCCATTAACTATCAGGCATAATTTAGATCCAGCACAAGCATGTATGTAAAAATTCAGGGTTTTAATGCATGCTGATGGCCAGGGGGCCTTTGCGGGTGGCGGGTATGGCATGTTGGGGAGGAAGATGTGAGCCCCAAATTGGCTCTTTGCAGACATAAAACTAAACTTGCTTTGACAAGGCAGGATCTGGAGAGAAAGCACTTTTTGAAAAGCTGCGGGGGCAGAGGTGCTTTCAACTTTTGGTTGTGCTGAGTCTGCCTTAAGTACTAGGTGGGATCAAAATGAGAGTAGTCCCATTTTAACAATGGCAAGAAGTTAAATTGCCCCTTGCAAATCAAAACCTGGGTAGAAGAAAAATGCTGTAAAACACAGTAAACCTGCCTTGAACATTAATTTCTTCTTCTTGCTCTTGTTCGTACATTTGAGAGAGCTCTGGAGAATTTAAGGTCCCATTCAGCTCCTCACAGTGAGGTCCTTGGAGCTTTGCTTTTTCCCATTTCCCCACTCTCATTTACAATTTGTGGCTGTTTTTCTTTGCTGCAGTTAGGGGCTTCTCCAGCACTGGAGGAGGGGCTGAAATACTCTTGAGTTTATTTGAGTTCCCTTTGGGTGTGTGCATGGGAGGTCATACAATATGATTTCTTCCACCCATTTCTCTCTTTCCTGGGGGAACCTTTTCTTCTCTAAACTTAAGCTGCAACATATCTCAGATCTTATGTCCAAGGTTTTTGTTGTGTTTGGCAATTACTACAGTTTCCTCCTTAGAGACCTTGAATTTTATTCCCCTCCATCCCCATGAACCTTTTCAGGTTTGTCAGAACTTTGCATTTTATTATAAATGATGCTTTCTATTACCTGCAGTGTTTTGACAGTTCCCTGATGGATGTTTTATAGTGGAGCATCGCAGAGGTGCTGTGTGAAATAGCAATGATACAGAAAATGGAGTTGGCCCTTAATTTTATTTTATTCTTTGGCCAGATTTAGGTGTTTCTGTCCTGGGTTTCTATGCTGGCTGCCAGCAGTGAAGCCTGCAGGACTTGGTTTGTTCCATCTGTGTGGGCAACTACTAAATTAAAAGCTTTGTTGGACCATGTAGAGGTATGCTCTGGTGCAACTTCTCACCAGGTCTATCTAATGAGCCCTGTAACCTTCTTTAAGCATAGCAGAAGAAATTATGTAGTTAAATTACTTGATTTGATAATCCATAATTAGTTTCTTGCTGTAGGTCATTCTTCAGCTAGAGTAAGGAGCAGAGGAGTAATTTTGCATGGGTTTATTAATGACAAAAGAGAGTTTGAGCTTCTAGGGGGCTCAGGGCTGGAG